AAGAATTGTTATTATCAGAGATATCAGAATTCTCTTATTTTTCTAACAGTACAGATTACCATGTTAAATCACTACATTCAAAATCATAGATGAAGCCAGACATAGCAGTGCATGCCTGTACTCTCAGCACTCAGGAAGCTGAGGCAGGAGGATTGTTGTGAGTTTGAGACCAGTCTGTGCTACAAAGTGAGCTCAAGACCAGTCATAACTGCATATCATGACCTGTCTTAAAAAGACAAAAAAAGTCAGAGATGTCTCTGCCAAAATGATATTCTGAAAAGTCCAATTTAATTAGAATGTAAAAGTTATTTTTCCAATATACTAAACATGACAATTGCATAAGGTTGCCAGATAAAACAATAAAATCTTAGATAAGCAGTAAATAAATTTTAGTGTAAGTATGCCCCAGATATTATCTGAGACACATTTATAAATATATAAAAAATAGTGAATTATTTATCTGAAATCCAAATTTAACTAGCATCCTATTTTGTTTACTAAATCTGGAACCTACCACTAGAGCAGAGAGATTGCAATCTCTCTTAAAGTCAGACGGTTGATGAAATGTGGAACTTGGTTTGAACTTATGTATCAGACTCCTAAGATTACGTACTTTATAGCTCATCAGGCAGCCTAAAATGGAGATAGTAAAACTCAGGAAAAGTAGTCATACTTCAAGAAGCCATGAGTTCTGGAAAACAGATCACAAAAATGGAAGAACAAGATCCACCTGTGACTACTAAGCCTGCCTCAGTGCCTATTACATATAAAGAATTATGGAGAAAAACAGCTCCAACATTCTAGTGGTGGCGGCAATAAGATTTCCCCTTCCACTATTCCGTGCAAATGTGACTGGAAACATACGGGACTCAGACGCTTTGGTCTTGTTGGGTAGTAGAAGAGGATACTGATGTAAAATATAATGACTGCAATTCCTATTAATTGTAATAATTATACAAGTGCATATAAACGTATACTATCATTTTCCAAGCTCCACATTGCTCCCACGTTTCATTAACTGTATTACTTCAGTAAGTTTTTGAAGCCTCCTCTTTCAAATGACCCCAAGTCCTACTTGATAGTCCCCTAGACTTGTTCTCATAGACTCATTTCCTTTCCATTTTGCCACCATTATATAAGTGCAAGCCCTCAAAACTATATTCCCATATAACTTCAGTGTTTCCTAACTTTACTTTAAGCTCTCTATCTCCATCTAGTTACCCTACCAGTTATTTGAATATAAATTCACAAAACTGCCTGATGATAGCTCTACAATCAATGTTTAACACGTTTTTTAAAAATATTTAATCAATCCCAAATTTAACTCAAGTTGCTTCCTACAGTTAAATACTTCTTATGTTTATGCGATACAAATTCCACAAATGTGAAAGTCAGGCAAGCTGGAGAGGCTGGATTGGAGCTAGCATTTTAAACACTTTGTTATAGTCTTCATTTCCACAAAGAAATATTCTCTCCCTTGTTCTGTAAGTACACATCCCTCTTATTGTACTGACACTTGTTTCACATTTTTGGCAGAGCTGTCAATAGGTAATAATTTGCTACTAGAAGGAAGACAGCAGTATACACAAAATCAAATCCAAACGCAATATTGTAAAATGGGAATGGGAATGGGAAATGGAGAGAAAGAATTGTGCATACGGTGTCCACAAGAGAAGAATTACTTCACTCAGATGAATGTTGTTATATGATGACAGAGTTTGCTTGATGTCTTCCTATGCTTAAATTGAACTTAGGCATTTCACAAAAATATTATAGAAATGGTATGTAGTGCTTGGTGCATCTTATCAGGAGGCATGTGATGTCTGCATGTGTTATGGGCTACACCTAAAGTGTCCCCCAAAGTCTCACGTTCAGAGGTGGAACGTTAGGAAAGTGGTTGGATCATGGGGGCACTATACTAATCTTTGAATTAGTTCACTGATAAGTTCATAGCTTACTATCCTTTTGGAGGTGGGGTCAGGGGGTATGACCTAGAAGGGCATAATCTCAAAATTGGCTGCCACACTCTCTCTCTGCTTTTGGGTCAACATGATGTGAGCAGCCTTCTCCCACCATGTCCCCCCATACCATTTCCATCTTAGAGCCAAAGACCATACTGCACCCACTGAAACTGTGAACCAGGATACACCCCTCCTCCTTCAAGTGGCAGGAGTCGGGTGTTTTCCTCTAGCAATGGGAGAACTGACACCTGGACATGTTGTCTTTGATAATTTGATTAAGTTAGTGTCCTCCATATTTCTCCAAGCTACACTTATTATTTTTTCCTTTGAAAGCTATGTATATATCTGATAGAGAAATACTTTCAAGTGCTGTGAGTGTTCTGTTTCACATTGTAAGTACTCATACGTAATTTCAGCATCTTACTGATTCGTTCTGCCTACTGTAATTATGACTATGGTGTAGTTAAAAGGTGAGTTTCTATTTGCATTTTCCTTTCCACATTTTTGTTCTGGAATTTTATCATCAGGGAACGCTACACTTTCTATCCAACCTATTCATTTATTCAATTATTTACCAGCATGAAATCATAGAGCGTTATTCTATTTCTTATAGTACAGTATTACTATTACTCATTTTGTTACGGAAATTATCCCAACTTTGCTCATTCGAATTTCTTTAAGTTGGATCCTATACTGTTTTGACATTCTGCCACCAAGTTTTGAGCACTTATTTACTTTTTGGCAATGCAAAGTGTTCCAGGTTCATCTTGTACTTTCCTCGCCCCAGGTCTGAAAGCAACCCTTCCTCCAGGAGCCCTGATGATTTATATTAGGAAACTGTATTTAGGAATAAATGTGTGGCCTTTAGGTGTGTTGGTTGTTAATTTGTTATTAAACTTTTGTCACTGTTTCTGGACTTTCTTGGCAGATCAGAAGGTAGGAAACAAACATATAGGAGGAAGTGTAGCAGAGCAAGAGAGAAAAGGAGATACTCCTACCTTTATCTGTCTGTATTTCTATATGAATGCATATTAAAAAGCATGTTTTATACTACAGAGTTTATTCTAGCCTTTCCCTTTTCTGTATTTGTGACTTTTCCTTCCAGCAATAAGAAACCCAGCTCTCATTATCTGCAATATATTTACTTCTTTGCTAGTTCCTAGGACATGCATTAGTTTCACAATTGATAATCATGCCCTAGAGTGCTATACTTATGTAGAATGCCATTTATCTTGAGTTTTATACCAGACAATCCAATGCTATTGTACAGTTACTTAGATTAGTTCTGGTTTCCATCTCCTTGTGGGGTGGTTATTGCTATAATCCATTCTGAGTTCTTCCCACATCCCGATCGGTTTCAATTAACTAGTGAATTTGGAATGCCAGAGAACTATACAGGAGGAGGATTGCTTACTTGGAGAAATGCTGCTCCGTTGTTGCTCTGCTAGCTTGTCCTCCTCTGGCATTTTTGTCACTGTCACTCACCTGCGTACTGTTACTCTCTTGGATTCTGATCTCTGCTTTCTGTATTTCTTTTTTGTAGGAATGCGTAGATGATAAGCTTTTTTAAAAACTTTGCCTAGATGAACTTAACAATATCCTGTAAGTTTTTCCATATCAGTTCCTAGAGAGATTCTTTTTGTCTGCATAGTACCCCCATGTAAATAAATTATAATTTATTTAACTACTTCCCTATTGTGAGTATTTTTGGCTGTTTCTAATATTCTATAATTATAAACAGTGCTACACTAGAAGTTGTGTGTGTACACACTTAAAATTATTGAGAGAATATCTGAGAGTATAGTTTTGATCTCTAGTTTTCTGGTTTAATTCTGTTTTCAATCAAATGGTATAATAGAGGGTACTTTAAAAACTGAAACAAGTTATAGCAAATACTGTTAATATTTCATTAGCATTATTTTCTGTCTCTAACCTACTTTTAGCTTCTTTAGAGACAGCTTAATGCAATAAACCCTTTTCCCTAGCCACTAGACCAAATGTTCACTTTAAAATCTTTCTTTATCTGTTTAAATTTGAACATTTTCAGTTACATCTCCATTCAGTAAGAGTGTTCTGATATTTTATTTAAAAACTGAACATATTATTTGTAATGTCTAGTCATAAAATTCATTTTTATGTTAAATTCTTTTATTCCTTTAGGGGTAGGGTATGGAAATTACAGACCACCGTCCTAGTCTGGTTCCCCTTCTACTCCTCAAGAATGGATGTTAAGTAGGATGAGAGGAGAAAAGCGGGATCAAAGGCTGGTAGGCCCCTCTCCAGGAGGTCTGACAATGGACTAGCACAGGTATAGGGAGTTTCTTTCCTGCTGGGCAGAAGATTGCAGCCAGAACTCGGCTTCCTATGGAACTGGGGGCTTGGAGGACCCTCCAAGACTCCACCACCTGCACAGCTGGTATTTAAAATTTGCAAACAATACTTCACAGTCCATGATTTTGCCTCTTCCCTGGTTTAAGGGATCCCGCATGTGCCTAACACATCAGGAAACTGCCCTAGGACTTGGCATCTGAAAACTAAAGAACATTTGTCCTGTCTTATTCCTTATCATTTTAAAGAACTTTTTAATCCATTATGAGGCTCTTGCCAGGTCCAATCAAACCTGTAATAATAATGTGATGGGAGTCTCTTAAGCTTTGTTGAGATATTAGTCCTGGATTCTGTAGTTTCAATACATGTAAATCTGTGTAGCAAAAAGACTCTGGCTCTACTACAAGGTACCTTCTGATGTGACTTCTCATGTATGGCTTACCTATGCAGCCAATTGTGTCACTAATCATACATGCAGAAAATTTGTCAACACTTTGATAGGAACCTTGCAGCCTGTGTCCAGTGCCTCAGAATGTTGATACTTGCAGAGTCAGAGAAGTCAAGTAATATATCAAACTGCGTCTTCACACCCAGATTTCTAAAACTTACAATATTATAATTAACTTTTCAAACTCAAGCAATCATAAGGCAAACAAAGTTCATCACAAACACATAAAAAACTTCTAAGTGATATTGCTCTTATGTTGTTACCTCCTCGATCTCGGGCAGCTAAACTTTGACCCCTTTTTAATGTAATGTCCAACTGGTACATTCCGGGATCAGCCAAAGGGACATCTGCATTACTGGTTCCAACAGTATGTATTTTCTGGAAAACAAGAAATTTACAAAACATTAAATGTATTATTTCTGTTCCATTTTCTCCAGTGGGGACTTTATGTAGCTTTAACTAGGTTACAAGAATTAGTCAGTGAAATAAATCATCTTGTGATTTAACGTAGTATCATAAATACCTAGTTCTCTGATGGTTATGGAATTCATGAAATTTTTCAGACTTCAAAGAAAAAAACATAACAATTATAGAAATGGCCTATTTCAATTCAGGTTAAAAGTAACAAATGTAATGTAAAAGATTTTCTATGGAATTAACATAGAAATAGTGTCTAAAATAAAAATACCATCAACTATGAATGCAGAATAAGGGTATGCAAAAGAAGTTGACTTCTATAGAACTTAAAATTAAAATGATTTATTCAGGTGGCTTTGCTGGCTCATTTATCTTTGCAAAAGATCTCATACTGACAAATTACATACTTCCAGCTTACCTCCAATATAAAATATCACATGATTGTACAGAAATAATTCTTCCCAGCATTTTAAGCGTATTCGCAAAGAATAAATTCTCAGTGGGGCTAAATATCTAATGCTGATTTCTGTGCCCTAAAGTGCACAAGCTATTTCTCATTCAAAAAACATTTGCAAAGCTGCCTATATAGAATATTTTTAACAATATGTTTTTAATAAGCTAGTAGGTACTGAGTTACAAAGGTACTTGCAATTGGAATAACTATATTAAAACAACATAAAAGAAACATTCAGTGAAAACTGTATGTCATATTGGATAGTCTCTGCCACTTTTTATGTAGTAGGAAAACTTACTTTTTTCCTGTATGTATTTTAAATTCTTACAGTAATATTTTCTGATGCCCAAAGAAATGTTTTCTTATTTCAAAATATGCATGGATAAGGTAAAATAACAGACAATAGTATGGCTCTTTTAGTTCCAAAATGCACATAAAATTCATTTATAAAGTAATATTTCTTTTAAAAAAAACCTGTCCAGATATATTGAACATAAATTCTCACTTCAATTAGGGCAGTATATTGTCTGAGGTTTTAAGACCAAATAAGGAGCTTCATTTCTGGAGAAATTAGCATTTCAAATAAGAAGCAGCACAACATGGATTAATAACCTGAAGCCATCATCTCTCCTCTGGTAACAGTAAAAACTCACTCTCCTTCCCACGGTATCCTTGCTTCTGTAAATGGTGGCACCCTTCCCCAGCCACTCGGGCTGGGTATTACTAAAGACATCTTTGACTTCTTCATTGCCTCCCACACGTATCCAAATAGTTATCAAATCCCATCCATTTCTGTGTTACATCTCCCAATTTTCTTTTTTTTTCTTTTAATTCCTATTACCACTAATTTGCATCTAATTTAATACTGCAAGGTTTATTCTGGCCTTGCCCTTTTCTATATTTGTGATTTCTCCTTCCATCAAACAGCAGAGGGGTGAAGAGTGAAATTCAGCCCAATGACTGCTCCTGGAGGTTCTCAGTTATAACAATTTGAGTTACTTCCTTTCACACTGTAGAAAGTCTGATACAAACATATATGCATGCATGCTTGCGCATATGTTCTGGGGTTGGGTTACTATTTGTTTTTAACTAAGCCAGTAGTAATTTTTCCCATTATTAATTTATTTAATATAATAAAAATATGGCCATTTTTCTGATACATATAGCTAGCTCTCTCTAAAAATTTCCAGCTTTACTGAGGTATAATCAACAAGATTAATTTTATGGTATACAGAGTAACAATTTGATATTCAGACATTTTGCAAAATGACTCTTACCATTAAATTAACACTATACTTCAAGATAACTTGTTTTGGTTTTGTTTCTGTTTTTTACTTTGTGGACAGAACACTTAAGCAACTTTCAAATATACGATTTGGTACTATTACATGCTATCTGGTTTCTATGCTATACATGGGATCCTTGAACTTTCTCATCTTATAACTGAAAGTCTGCCCCATTAGACCAACATCTCCACTTCCTTTGCCTCTTTTCCTGTAACTAATTTTTGTTATAGGTACATCATCTTCCCTGGAATGGTGATATCCTCATGTCTTCAATTACTTTCTAATTGATGAATATTTGCCTAATTTCAGTGTTTTCTACCAAACAGGCTGATGATTTTATTTTTCTCATGGGATGAAAACTTTGGTTCACACTCGTAGCAAACTGTACATGAGGTTTATCTCCCATAGCCTAGTCAGCATAAGGTATTAGCAATTTTTCTATTTTTTATACTAATTTTTCTATTTTTTACAACTGTGTGGGCAAAAACCATTATCAACCTTCAATATGTGTTTCCAGAACTATGGTAAGGTGTCTTCAGAGCAGTAAACAGGACAAGAGAATGATGTCTGTTTACAGGACCATGCAGAAACATCAACCTGGAGACAGGGGAAGCCAGCGAGGGTCTAAACAACTTTTCAAATGGTTTGTACGTTGGTCTAATGAATGAGCAAGATTTAAATTCAGATTCAACAAACATTGGTTGGCTTGCAGTTGTGTTCTAAGTCTTTCATCAGATAGTTTCCAAATAAAAACATCTACCAGTATAGTAAGCTTCAATAGGTTTATTACCTTCTAAAAGATGGAATGCAAACTGCAGACAAAGAATCCTCTGCCAAGTCTGCTTTCTCCCCTAGTGTTTTGATGGCAAGTTAAAGGTAGAAAAGTTTCAGCTACATCGGTAGCTTTTGTGCTCTTTGTCACCCTACCCAGTGCTTCTTGGACTTTAGCATACATAACTTGTAGAGTGTTGGGTTTTGCATCTTAAAAAGTGTATTATAATTTACGTGCAGGTTAAGGAATTTACAAAGGTAATTTTAACTGCATTACAGTATCCATGTGTCCTTTTACAACTTAATACCTAGTTCAGACGTAACTCCAACTGGACTTATACTGATTGCATATATGCATTTTCTCTTCTACAAATTTCTCATTAATATTCTTCATTGTTCTACTGTGTTGTCCCTTTAAAAATGGCATTACGATCAGTTTCTCTATCAAATACATTGCAAATATTTCCTCCCAGTATATCTTCTGTCTTTGATCTTGTGCACGATATAATGTGGTTATACAGCAACTGTTAAAGTTGTTTGTTTTTCCTTTTATAAATTCTGCATAGCTTATCATGTCTAAAAATGTTTTACACATTATGAGAAAGCATAATTTGCTTCTTATATTTAAAATATTAAAATGATTTTAATTTTTAGATGTCTCTATATTTCATTTGAAATATATCTAGGGGGACATAGATGATGTAGATACGGCTATAGATGTACTTTTTGCACTGTGAAATGAACTCTGAATCCCATGCTTTCTACACAAGTCCTCTGCCACTGAGCTGTATCCCAACCCTGGAATATTTTTTAAGTATGCTCATGAAGTAGGAATTTAAGTACATTTTCTTAATTTTTATTAGGATGGATAATGAGTAGTAACAGTACTACTTATAAAGGAGCCATTTCCCTTTATGGTACATTTACTTTGTACTTCTACTTTTCTTCTTGTTTGCCGGCCCAAACATCCGGAGTTGAGCCCTGTTTCTGCCTTACTAATTTGTATGATGTATATTAATAATATTACCTTCTTACATGGTTATAATCATTAGTACACGTGGGATGTTCCAATACTGCCTGACATATAGAAAACACTGAAAAACAGCTATAATTATTTTTCAAAACTTAAAAACCACAAGGCTTCTCATCTAAACTGCATTGAATTTGTATGTGAAAATGGGAAGGATTTATAATTTCATAATATCAAGTACTAATCACTAAGAGAAATGTAATTTTCTATATTTAAATCCTGTTTTATGACCTTCAATAAAATGGCATTATTTTCTTCATGTAGAAGTTGTCCCTCTCTAACTAATTTTATTCTTGGTATTTCTTGGGATTCATTTCTCTTGTAAATTAAGTAATTTTTCCATTTTCAATTCAATCATGTTATTTCTCATATAATGGATAAATAATACTTTATAGGATGACTTTATCTGCTATCATTTTGCAAGTCATATTTGGGTTGTCTGTATATAAAAGCATTTTGTCTGCATAGAGTTCAAGACTTATTTTCTAATATTTAATCACTTATTTTAAAGTCTTATCCTGCTATCTTCAAAAACTCTGTTTAAAATAGTAAAAATATTATGCATGTTTGCATTGCATTTGAGTTTAATGTCACACCTTTCACTATTTCAGCATTTAATATGATGCTTGTCAATGTTTTTCAAGCTTAAACTTCTTCTTCTATTCTTCATTTATGTGGGCTTTTAAAAATGAATTTTATCAAGAGATTTCCTATATCTATCAAGAAGATCATTTGGAATTTTTGGTTGGTAGATATTGCTAATTTGGAGTCATCTTCAAGTTTCTGGAGGAAAGTCTATTGGACTGAAGAGTCTGTTCATTCTGATATACAGACATGACTACGTTCAAACCACCAGTTGCGTCCATACATACTTGAGTATATCTATCCTTCTTATTGAGACATTTCCAGTCCCCATTGTGTAACTCCAGACTGCCTTTCTAAACTGAACTTTGACTTTCCTGTTTCACACACCCTGGACCACTTTTCCTCACTGGGACTAACACTTCAGTAACTCCCATCTTCATCCTACATTTTTCACCAGGCTTCTTTTGCCCTCTTGTTTTCTGCGCCTTACCGCCCAGTCTTCAAAGACCATTCATTTGTACAGCATTGTTTACTTTCCATTGTTTATTTCTCTCTCCAACATCACAATTGCTATTTTAGACTGTAAGCATTACAAACTGGGGAACCGAGTGATCAAGGATAAAATTGAACATGAACTTTGGAAGAGGCTACAAGGGCAGATGCTTATGGACACATGATCTAGTTGAGTAGAAACATAGGCGGGATGGGGGGCCTAGAACAAAGCTGCCTACTCTGTGGGAAGTTTGTTCCCTCTCTTCTCGTGCCTGTGTTTGCATCAAACTGCTTTCGGAACTTTCTTTCACGAGGAAGTCAAGTCACCCTTAGAGTCCTTCTC